AAAGAATTTGTTTCTCTATTGTGGAGCCGAATTCCAAAGTCCTTATGTAAAGTGCATGGAGTTAAGGTTCCTTTGTTTAAGAATTCCTACATGTTAAATATTAGAAGTATCCGTTTCAACTATTTTGAAATAGTTTAAATTTGACAAAGCTATGCAGGAAATTTTCTTTGATTTAAGCTTTATTTTTCTAATCGATTATCTCAATTTTTTGGTTGCTTTTTAAGCCTTCTATATAATGGCTTGCTATCATAAGCAAGGTTCTTATAACAATTTGCAATATAGGTAGTTTAGATGGGACGAATAAGGTTGAATTGGTAAATTATTGCCATAAGAAGGTTCAACTTCAAATTGAGAAGAAGAATGAATATTATGCTTCTCAAACTAATAAAGAAAGAAAACGTGTGACATTTGAACCAAGTGATAGGGTTTAGTAAGTACATGCAAAAAAAAAAAAAAAATCCAGTCTAAAGGTCTAACCTATAACCTAGAGGAGATGGACCATTCTAAGTCATTAAAAAGACTAATGATAATACCTACAAATTGTACCTTGTAGGTGAGTATAATGTGTTTGCTACTTTTAATGTTACTGATATTTCTCTCATTAATGCGGTTGAAAATTCAAGGTTGACTCCTTTTAAAGAGGGAGGGAATGATGAGAATCATGGAGGACAGGCTAGCAAGGATCCACGTGTTATGGAGGGACCAATAACTAGGTCAAGAGCAATAGAAAGACACCAAGTTTTCAAGATGAGTATGAAGGAAGAAGGGCCAACCTTATTGCATTTGATTCAACTTTCAAGTTAAAGATGAATAAAGAGAATGTACGAAAAGGTTTATAACTTTTAGCTCGATTGCTAAATTTTCGTCCATGAGTACAATTAGAAAGCATTGTTCAATTCTGCATGATGTTGCTAACTATGCCAAACTTTTAAGGTCAAATTCAATTGTTTGGGGGTCCGTTTTAGTGTTTTTTCAATTTTAAGTTAGTGCCAAGCGTTTTATGTAACGTGATTTTTCTGCAAGTGTACAGTGTCAAGTTTTGTAGTATATTGATAAAATAAAAGTGTCAAACCCAAAGGGATTGATAATTGAATCCTACTGAGTACTATAATGATTTTGGTTTTTCACTTTATTTAGACAATCAAATGTTGAGTGGATGATTTCATATTAAACTAAAATATCTAGATTAAAGAGTGCAAGTAAAGTGAAGCCATTTCTAAAAACTTGATCAAATGTATGAACATCTAGGGAATGATTTCACCATATTCTCGACGATCTTTTTCAACCTCTATAGCTATTTCCATCAATTCTTTTCCGGATTTATAGGCAAGAATCCTAAATTAATTCTATCCCCTCTCTCAAGCACCAAATAGAATTTATCTCTATATTTTAACCCTAATATCTCTATTCTGAATTTAACGTATGGAAATTATCAAACATCTTATTCTTGAAATGAATTGGCCTCAAAGATTCACACTTTCTCTCGAAACCTACAAATTCTAGGTTATGCCATTCTTAAATCACGCCTAAATTCCCCTCTCTTGAGCACCAGACTAAAGGTATTAAATCATTCAATTTTTGACCGGGCAATTGAAAGCATAAGCAAGAACAACATAAATAAACTTTAGGAAAATCAAAGGAAATAACTGTATTGGAATCAAAACATGTCTCAAATAGGTTATATCAAGCCCTAGATCTCAAAGTTTAGTTCATAATTGAATTGATAGATATGATGAAATACACAATAAAGAATATGGAGAAGAAGTAGGGAATAAGAAAAAAAACTAGGTGTGTTGCGTGAATTCTTCCCTCCAATTGTTGTCAATCTTCTTGCAATTATTCTTGTTAAAGGCCTCTTAGATTTTCTCTCTGTCCAAGCCTCTTTTTGCCATCCCGAAGAAGAAGAAGAAGTCGTTCTGGTCGTCCCCCTAGGTTAAATAGTGTGATGGATTTTGTTCCATAAGGATTTGTGTCAAAAAAGGAATCTATTCGATTTTTCTTAGTCAAATGCCCGCGCGTATGGTATATTTCCTTGCGCTCGTGCCGCGTATTGGTTCTATGTTTTGCTTATGTAATTCAACCCCTTGCGCACACGAGAGTTTTGGCCTGCGCGTGCTTGCCGTTATGAAATTTTTCCCTGTGTTGCACTTTGTTCCCTATACTTCATTCTTCATTCCTTTTGGTCCATATTTGACATCTTCTCGATCATTCATCCTCTAATACCATTTAATTGTCTCTCGCTCTTCTTCAAATCATTAACATCATATCCAGATCAACTTTTGATACTTTACGATTTAGTCCCCAAACTTTTGATTAGGCCCAAGTTAGTAAGTTTCTCGCTCTTCTGTCCAATTTCATTATTTTACCTTGAGTTACACCTAAAAAACGAAATATGTATGAAGTTAAACATTAATTCATTCTAAATAATAAAAATTGCTCTAGTTTAATAACTGAAATAAGTGTATAAAATACACTTATTGATTATCCCCAAACTTGAACAAATTGTTTGTCCTCAAACAGAAGTCAGGTCGAATAACTCATTAACATTCACACAAACACAACTAATACACACGAAATTACTTAAAACAAATTTCGTTAGATATCTTGTCTTCATAGCTCAGGATTGAAACCATAACATCGACTATATAAATCACTTCAAAGTTATAATGTACAAGCTAAAATTCTTATATATTCAATGTAAGACGGGGGTGTGTGTGTGTAGAGAGAAGTGCAATGCTGTACAAGAATGAGTTGATCCAATCCCTAACCTTAAAAGTCATCTATTTCCTTACTTCGCTCGTGGGATTCACACACTCCAAAACTTATTTTCTTTTCTCTTTCACATGGTGTAATCTAAGGTTAATCTTTAGTACTAATCTCTTACACCAGTCAAGTTTGGTTAGATTTTACTGATTGTAGTTCCACATGTTAACAAATGAGGATTCTCCTTATTTTTGACTGCTTCAATCTTTAAAAATTAACCAAGTTACTAACCTCTTGTCAAAAGGTCAAATCCTCTAATATGAGTGTTTGGGGCTTTTTTTAACCCTGGTGCAGACGTCCCTCCCTTAAGCTTTCTATATGACCCCCTGTAGCGAGCTTTAGGCCCATGACTCTCAAATCAGATGACTTTAAGGCATCAGGTTTTAAGCCCTTACAAGTTTAATCACTTGAGTCATAAAAAGCTATGAAGAGACAATTCACAATGAGATTATTAAAGTTGTTCTCATTGGGATCTTTATTATTATTATTATTATTTTATTTTTTTCAATGTTTAGTGCAATGCCCATTATTAAACACGCATTCTAGAAAATCGATCTCTAACTAAAGGTTTTCAACCAATTTTCATCATATTAGTTTCAGACAGTCCATGCAAAAATTGGCACACACAGAATTCACATTTATCTTCAAGTTTCTCCACAATAATACAATCCTCCAAACATCTTAGATTTGGTTTAAAGATATACTGATGTTTAATGGTGTTTGGGTTTAACAAATCTAAATTCTCTAGTTCAAGCTATAAACATGATTCACCTATTCACGCACAACGCTACAATCAACTCACATGCAAAATAATATTCGCTTTACATGAATAAGTAAAAATTTGACTCACACATATAACTTGTCCACAATTCATATACATGTTCTCAGTAATAAATATCATTGTCGGCAAGGCTATCTAACTCACACAGGCATGCAAAACATGATAATTTTTTTTTAATACAATGCACACAAATAAAAGAAAAGTTGCACTCAAATCACACAAAAGAAAAGGAAATTAGGCAATTAGACAATGTACACTACACTCTAATACCCCCAAACTTGAACTAAATATTGTCCCCAATGTTAAGAAATAATGCAAGTAAAAACGGAAAGTGAGGACAAAAAGGAATCAGAGACTCCCCCAGTATCGATCTGTGGGCGGTGGACGAAATGGCATAAAAGCTCCTGAACCAGATGGGTCCGATGTAGATGGTGGCTGATGAGTTGATCTAGAGAGGTCTTGCATCAAAGCACATAACTGATCAATTTGTCTATGTGTATCCTCCAACCTGTTATACATGACCTCGTATTCATGTTCTCCAATTTGTTATATATGGCCTCATTTCTAATGTGCATATCCTTTACCTGTCCTATGCATCTATCTAATCGTCTCCCCATGAGGTCATGTTCCCTATGCAATGTCAACATGTCATCAGAGAACCTACTGATGTCTCGCTCCATAGCTTGCAGCTTGATATTCCTAGCATGCTCCCTGTTATCTAGGGCTTGTTCCCTGGCTTATGAAGTAGTCATCATCTGCTCTATACGCTGCAATGTCCGGTTAGTCTCTATCAGACCAGCAAACAACTATCTCATAATCTACAAATCAAGTGTGGCTCTGGCTCTACAGGTTGTGGAATTTGATCATCTGCCTCTGGATCCTCTTGGTCATGTTGCTGCACGCGTCGTTGTCTCTACAACCTAATATATTACCATGTCTTGGTAGCTGAGGACGCATTAATCGGAACAACAACTCTTATCGATAACTCTCTTGGTAGAAATCGAATCCCCGATGCACGACATATGCCAGAAATAAGACTAGGGAAGATCAAAGTATGTCTTGTGTCTGGATCCATCGCCACAAAGCATATGAGATCATAAATCAAAGATCCTAAGTCAATCTTAAACCCACGTGCAAGATGATAAAGTTGAATGGCTTTGGGTTGACTGATAGTAGTGCGATGCGAACTTGGATCAATGTTGTGAGTGATGAATTTATGCAAAATCACAATGGAATATGTCAGGTGTCAGTACTCAAAGTCATGTCCCAAGAGTGGCCATGCATCTTCTCTCCCATATAGCATTTGCGCGACGACTGGCATGTCTGCATCCATTGGCATTAGCTCAATATTATCTCGAGTGAGTTCATAGTAGGCCTAAATCACTTCGGGAGAGAACATTATCCATTTTTCTTGAATCCATGTCTGTGCTCAGTCCTCGGAGTGTCCAAATCTGCATTAAAATTTTGCGTAGAACTCCTGCACCAAAGTAGGGTAAACCTTTTGAGGTTTGCCTGCAACCTTCTCCCAACCTGCTAATCTAATTAACCGGGTCAATTCATACCCTCCAAAGTCTTCCAATATTACTTGGTGTTCTGGCCAAACTTTCCATCTTGAAATCACATTGTCAAATCTGGCTTTATGCTGAACTGTTAGAAACCATCTCATACCCCCATTGTCAAGTCGTGTTCGGGGTGTGCTAGAAGATCTTGTGACCTTTTCCTTGCCTTTGGAGGTGGAAGGAGCAGTCTTTCATTTTTGACCCATAGATGCCTTCACGTTGGAAAAATCGCAATTAGTAACATGAGATAGTAAAATAAACATGAAGGAGCAATATAGGTTGGTGTTTAGTAGCCCTCATGCTTCATGAAATCCCCACAAGATGAAGACTGCAACAATATAAAAGTGTCAGTGTATATATGAAGTATATAAGGTATGAAAATCATGCCAAAATTCAAATAAAATGCCATTAAGGGAATCAGTCAGGCACCTTACGTACATAGGTCTAGAAAGTGGTGAAAATTTCAATGTACTTATTTACAGTCCACATATTCCACAAGTAAATCATCCACCACCATATAAAAATGTCCATATTTCAACAAAACTCAACAATCTCCAACAAAATGCAAGAGTGTAAAAATAGTTTGAAATGGTAAGGATATAGCAAACTTGCTCTTGAGGATTATAGATGGGGTAACAACATGAAAGTGGTTATGTATATATATTCTATGTGTTACACGAAATTCATGCCAAAATTAAAACAACAATTCCTTAGGAACAATTTATCAAACACGTGATGGGTGAACTTCAAGACATGGTTGGACACATTCAACATGAAAGCTGTTAATTCTCCAATTCCTCTAACACACTCAAGCAAACCAAGGTTTATCTAGACCCACCTCCAAATTAATCGAGAATAGTTAGAAAGATGCGAGAATATAAGGCAAATAGCAAAACACACGAACCCTTGAAGATGTAGCATTGTACCTTGAATTCTCGAAATTTTGTATGCAACAAAGAGTGTTGTATGTTGTTAGAATGTCAATGCTCACAAGAATTTGGGGAAAAATTAGGTGAAATTTGGTTGAAGCCACTGAAATTGTCGAGAGAAAGGGACCGGCTCATGTTGTTTATGTGTGGAAAGTGAGGGGTGGGGTTGGGTTTTAAAAACCCAACCAATGAGCGCGACTATGTTAGTCACGCGCGAGCAGCTAGGACATTTTAGCCCCTGCTCGTTTGAGGAATGGCCTCGCGCGCGTGAGGCCACAAGCTAGTGCACTTAGATTTATTTTAATATTAATTTTAATTTTTTTTAAAGCCCCACACATAACCAATTAGGCACATACACTCCAAATACCAAATATATATATATATATATCAGAAGCTTAGCGGTTTCGAGAATTATGTGAAACTAGTTTATCAATTCGGAATGAAATTTAAATATTAATATGTGAAATTATTGAAGCATTGGAATTCCCTCAATTGGGTTGGATCGATCAACATCAACAATTCATGTATTATTACTCAATTAGAGGTTTTCTTTTCAACTCTCTAATCGGAAGATTTAATAGTAAAGATCACTTTAGTTCCAATTGTAATTCTAAGATTTAGACTTTCTAACACATTCCCACAATTATTATTGGAGTAAGATCAAAAGTAACCATATACTTCAAGCATAAGATCGTAAATAACTCACCAATAACATGAATGAAATTGGAACTCAATAAATATTTCAATCAAACAATAGAAAAAACATGATTGAATCTATGAAAGATCTAATAAAAATTAAACCAATTTCAAAATCAATTCATAAGGAGAAAGTCTAAAATCTAGAATTTTTTGACAGTAAAATACCAAATTACATGAGCAATTGATGTGATTTCCCAAAATCCAATGAGTTCCTTCCAAGTTTGCCTAGCATGCTCCCTGTTATCTAGGGTTTTTAGTTCTTCTTGTAGTCTTGAGCCAAAAATAAAAAATAATTGATGTGAGGATGAAGAGAGGCATTCTCTGTCTAGTCTAGGGCTTGAAATCCTGTACCAAGTTGTTTCCAAAAGAGGTTGAACCGAATAAGGAAATTAAATTTTCGGCTAGAATATTCTGTGCTACTACTTTCAGTATTTTAACCATAACTTTCTCTCCCGATATCCAATTAAGGCGATTCAAAGTATGTTCGAAAGCTAACACAAAGGGATACAATTTTTCTAGAAATAGCTTTTTCCAAATTCTGATTTTTACTCGGTCAAAAGTGGACTTCAATCTCCGGCTGAAATTTTAGAAAATCTTTATGCGGTTGGAATTTAATTTGTGAATATGTTATGGTCATATTTAAATCCTTTTGACTTCTAATTGTACCCAATGGACTCCTAGCTTTCTCCAAACATCATTCCATCACCCGTCTCATCTTTAGATTATTTGTAACTTGGTCCCTAAACTTTCACTTTCTTCCATTTTGGTCCTTTTTCCCGCTCTTTTCTTCTAAATTTGACCTTTTCTATCAAAATGCAACGTGAATCAAAGCATAAGTATAATGAGTACATTTTTGTATCAAATAATCATACCAATACAATAATTAAGAGGAGAAAATATTATATTTTACTCTCTTATCATGTTGAATACTTGGAACAAGTGTTACGTAGCTCGAAAATATAGCAACCAACTTAAGTACTATGAGACCTTATCCTAAATACTATAAAATAAACTGAACTATCCTAGATTAAAACAATAATAACAAGAAAATAAATAAAAGACAAAAATAAATAAAAGGGAAGAAAGCTTAGGTTGCCTCTCAAGAAGCGCTTCTTTTACGTCTTTAGCTAGACGTGGATGTGACTTTGAGTGGATTTTTCAAGGATAGTCTCTTCCACATCTCGGTTGTCCCCACCATAATAATGTGATAAGTGTGTTTTTACACACTTATTTGGTTCATAAACATGACTTAAACATGGATAAAATGGTTGAATTGTGACTTAATCCAGTTAAATTCATACATTGTAGGTAATTCAATGAAAATTGTGAAATTCAGGAGAAAAGAGCCGAAGAAGGACCAAAACGCAACAATTTGATAGTTCGAGGACCAAGGGTGCAAATATTGAGAAGTTGAGCTAAATTCAAAACGAGAGTAAAAACATGCCAAGTATGAGCTCAATGACAAAGCAAAACAAGTGGAGGAAGAAAGAATGGAAGATGGACTAAAATGAAGATAATTGAAAGTTGGAGGACTAAAGTGCAAATACTCAAAAGATGTGCCGAATGAGTGGCATAATATTTGAAAGTGTCGATCATCAATTGGAAGATAAGAATTGTTGAAAAGATGAAGAAATCGAAGAAAGAAGTCAAGAGAAGCAACAAAGAAGTTCAGGGACCAAATTGCACAAACCACATAGATGGTTACTTCTATGCGACCGCATAGTGTAACCTTCTATGCGGTCGCATAGAAGGTTTCAGGGATTCAATGAGCCAAAAAAATTTGATCTATGCGACCGCATAGATCCCTTCTATGCGGTCGCATAGT